CCCCCACCCCGCCAGCCTGGTCACCCCACGCCGCCTGATGTTCGGTTGTTGCATGAGGGCATCCTGGCCAATTTGCATATTCCTCTACTATTAGTATAGATAGTTTTTCTGTTGATTCTTTGGAATATTCCAGATAGAAAGTAAAAATTTGAAAGTGGTGTTATTATGGCTATTTTTTAATAATTATATCAGTTTTACTTTCTTGGCTTGCTGCTTTGGCTAGATTGAACTTCTGAAAATGTATTAAGTAATAGTGGTAATAGTAAGCATCCTTGTCTTGTTCCAGATTTAGTGGGACTGCCTTTACTGTCTTACATTAGACATGCTGGTGTGGGGTAGATGTTCTTAGAGATTGCATTTGTCATGTAAAACAAATATTCTTTCTTCTCCATTTTAACTGAGAGGGGATATAGTCAGATATATATATCCTCATTACCTTTGGGGAGATAAGAACATTGAGTATCCTGGCGTGTGTTGCCTGATGAAAACACAAAGTCATATCTCTTCTTTTCAACTTTGAATGCATTCCTCTGTGGGTTCAAGGTTCAGAAGAGCCAGTTGACCTAAATGGCCTAATCTTTGCAACTCATTAGGTTGAAGCAACATGGATTCTCTTAACCAAAGCTTTTGAGCTGGTCTCAGGATACGGGCTCTGAGAGATTTCTGTTCGTGGCACAGACATCTCTTGTGAAGCTGAGTTTCTCATGCATGCTTGAAGCTTTTACAGAAACATTTTTGGATTACATGAAAATGAAGTTTGGTGCTTGTGTTAGGAGAGCGGAGTTAAATGAGGTATTGGCAAAGCAGGAAGGAAAGGCCACAGAATCACTCCAGCAAAGAGAAGTTAGGAGAAGTGAACTGGGAATTTCCCTAAAGTTGAAAAGCAAGTGCTGTTCTCTGTCCTAATTATCAATGTCAACTTTAAGTGTGAAAATGAATACAATCCAATCTTCGAATTCTACCTCTCTGCTAAGAAGAAAATGGTCTTATCCGAAATGTAAGTAGAGGTGAGGCATACTTCATGGTAGCACTTAGTCTAATTGCAACCCTTACATGAGCGTTACCATTGCTGATGGTGGTTTTGACATGCGAAATATTGGATTTTTGTTTGTTTTACTGGACTGATGCCTGAGATTTGTTAGAATTAAATGGTGATGTGCAGGTTACAGTTTACCCACCAGGGCCTCAGAGTCCTGAATGGCTTATGATCTCAGACTTAAAGATCAAAGTAACCAGTACCTATTCTCAGTGATCATTGTTCTCTTTGCAATAACTTCTAACATACATGAATCAAAGATTTGTGTGGCTTTGAAATTTTAAGAGATCTTTGCAAATTTAAAAACATGAATTTTATTTCAAAAGGCCCCAGTGAATACATTTTTGAATCTTATTCCAAGATAAGTACCAATTTAAAATATACCTTACTCCTTTAACCTTCAAAAGTATGCTGATCTAACAAAGAACTAATGGTGAAATCCCCATCTTCCCAGCATCTGTTACATGGACAGTTTTAAAAATTCTTGGGAAAGAAAAATGTGAACTTACCCCTCAAAGAGTAATAATTTCTCATAATGAGTCAAAACACACACACGTACCCAGTATGTGGCCATTTCCAATTAGTCCCCTCTGTGCTTCTTTGCACTTTAAGTGGGAACTTTTAAAATTAAAAGCTTCCAAGGGTATTCACGGATATATTTTTTTTTTCCTGTGGAATCCTTCCAAATCTTGGCAGTTACTTCCTGTGATGTGGCCAAAGTTTTCACAGGCAGATACCGTAACTCAAAATGTTTTTTTAATCTAGTTGGTAATCCTCTGGGCTTTAGAGTATCTATGTTTCCTTAACCATTCCAGCTTCCTGTTAGCAACTATTAAACACATGAATTTCAGCTTAATGCATGGCCTTCCTGCTATCATACAAAGAAATAACAGTAACGAGACTAACTTTACCACCTACGTACTCTAAATATATTAACTGCTATTCCTGGGCATCATACTATAAAAAGGTTATTTACCAAAAGTCTACAAGTGGTCGAGTTTTATTTTTATGTCTTCATATATGTAATGTAGCTTAAGTAATTTCTGGCTTGAGACTCAAGTAAAAGATACTACCGGGTTTATATAGATTCTTAACTTCTCATGAATTCTGAGAGAGCGTGAGATTCAGCACAGGAATGCAGAGTTTTGCATTTATGCACTGAATTCTTATTCAGAAATGCTATCCAAAACCCAGCAACAAACCCCATTTCCGAAAGCAGGGGGTGCCTGTTGCTTCTGTGCTTTATTCTTTTGTGTATAAATTCCCAGGCCCTACCACTGGGAAGTGTAGACAAGCCTAGCTGATGTGCCAAGGCTGGCCTTTGGAGGTCGCGGAGAAAAAGGACAGCGATAGCAAGAGGGTAGAATTCGGTCAAGCCTTTTGTGTTGAGAGGTAGTTCCAACCAAAGTGCAGACAACATGGAGGCCTTCCCTCTCCCTCTCTGCCCCACAGGCCGCCTTGACCATCCAGGACAGCCACATCGAGATCCACAGGCTGCTTCTCCAGCCGCAGGACAGCTCGTCCCCGGGCCCCTCCTTCCGAGGCAGCCCCTTCCAGGACCCGGACAAGCACCGCAGCCTGGAGAAGCAGCGAGAGGAGCTGGCCGACATCCCCAAGCTGCAGCGCCAGTTCCAGCAGGACCAGCGGCGCTGGCAGCGCAGGTGCGACCAGCAGCGGCGGGAGCAGGAGGCCCGGGAGAGCTGGCTGCAGGAGCGCGAGCGGGAGTGCCAGTCGCAGGAGGAGCAGCTGCGCAGGAGCCGCGGGGAGCTGGACCTGCAGCTGCAGGAGTACCTGCAGAACCTGGAGCAGCTGAGGGCGGGCCAGCGCCTGGTGGAGAGGGAGAGGGGCAGGATGCGCGCCCAGCAGAGCCTGCTGGGCGGCTGGAAGCACAGCCGGCAGAGCAGCCTTCCCGCGGCCTTCTCTCCAGGAAGCCAGGAGGTACGGATGGGTCTTCAGTGCTTGCCCAGGCGGCGTGGAAGGCAGCCGCGCAGGGACAGGCTCACTCACCGTCCTGTCTCTTTGCTTCTTGTGTAAGCGCTCACGAGAGTTATTCAATATGCAGAAGCTTAGAACTTTCCCAGACAGTGCACATGCATCTTGATTTGAAGTATGGAAATGTGAAAGGCCTTGGTCCTGTGGGATCCTGGGCTCACTGTAGGTTGAGACGCCCTTACCCAAGGGAATGAACACAGAATCGCGCTGTCCCAGCAAGAGGAGGCTTGTCCTGGAGGCACCCCACCTTGAGCATGCTGATTTCCCTAGGGGAGGCCCCTCTTCATATGGTCTGGTCTTAGCCTTGTATACAGGCTTACCTGTTAGTAGGTCAGTTAGCTGTTAATGTGCAGTATAGGTCCTGAATTTAGCAAGTATAACACTGTTCTGTTATTCCTTGCTTATGCTCCTTTTGTCATGTTGACAGAGTAAATTCAAAATCCCTTTCACTAGGAATGGTTCACAGGAGTCTACTAGCTAATGACTGGGCAGAATAAAACCTTTCCGAGGATTCTGTGTTCCACTTGCACCCTCTCTAACCGTGCTTGGCAGTTCATTTGTCCCAAGAGTTTGCTTTTCTGTGCTATGAGCAAATCCATGCTTTTTTTTTTTATTGATAGTATGTAATGCTGTAAAAGTTGATATGCTTATAAGAGAGTTCTGCTGCATCTGACTTTCCTTTCAAGTAGGCTAAATTACATTTATTGCAAATACATGTGTGCATGGATATGTTTTCAGCTTTTTTATTTAACAAAAGTTAAAATGCTGCTCTCTCTTAAAATAAAGTGGAACATTTGAATGGCAGAGAGCACTACTGCTTGTGTGTGTTTTTAAGCCTCATCTTATTGATTTGAGGGAGAGAGAGAAACATCATTGATGTGAGAGAGAAACATCAATGCATTGTCCCCAATGTGCAGCCTGATTGGAGATGGAACCCACAACCTAGTTATGTGCCCTGACCTGGAATCAAATCTGGCAACCTTTTGTACAGAATGATGCTCCAACCAACGAAGCCACCGGCCAGGGCTGGGGTTTTTTTGTTTGTCTGTTTTGTTTTTTTAAAGATATGCTGGGCATAATGAATTAAAGTTTTTGGTACTAGCTCATTAAAGAAGGCCTGGAAGGAAGGAGTCAAGAGTAATGTTCTTGATTCACTCTTATTAAAATGTTGCCTGCTAAATTCTACTAGGAATAAATACTTGATAAAACTTGTTCAAATGCCTGGAGAAATTATTGGTTGTTTTTGTTTTTATTTTCTTACACAGGTAATGGAACTTAATCGATCTGAGAGTTTACATTATGAAAATTCACTCTTCATCAACGATGCTGTAGTACAAATGTCATGTAACACTTTCGACAAATCAACTCCACCAGCCATCCACCAGGACGCCACTTGCCCCCCCAGTATATCTAACTCTGACTCGGAAAGGACTAGTGAAAATCAAGTAGACCTCAAGACAGGTGTTTCTCAGCCCACGGGTGAAAACCATGAACTATGGACAGCCGCTGAGTCCTGTCAGCAGACAGCCCCCCTCCACCAAAGCAGCGAGGATTCTTGTCAAAATGGTAATTAACACTTTAAGCATCATCTGTATAGTTTCAACAAGAAGCTGTGCCTCTCAATGGTTGGCTCTTCTTTAAAGCAAATCAAAGTGTGGGGGGGCCTAGAATGGGAATAAATTGGTGCAGATGAGCTGGAGTTTGTGGCATAAACTTTTCTTTGGGGAAGTCTGGGGACTGCCACCACTTGTGAGTAACAAGACAAGCTAGACCAGTGGTCGGCAAACTGTGGCTCGCGAGCCACATGTGGCTCTTTGGCCCCTTGAGTGTGGCTCTTCCACAAAATACCAAGTGCCGGCGTGCATGTACAGTGCAATTGAAACCTCGTGGCCCATGAGCAGAAGTCGGTATTTTGTGGAAGAGCCACACTTAAGGGGCCAAAGAACCACATGTGGCTGGCGAGCTGCAGTTTGCCAGCCACTGAGCTAGACCATGTTTGGAGGGCTTACAGGATGCCAGCAAGATGCTAGGACCAGACAGGGTTTTCAGGCCTGTGGGTTAAATGATAACTTTCTCTTTCTCTTAAAAGTGAAGCAACGTGATATCTATTCCTCACTGTAGATCCTATCACATCCAGATACACATACTTGTTGACTCTCAGAAATAAAAGATATGGACAGGGTTTGTGGTAGGACTTTATTGTCTATCAGGGCAATTTCCTGTAACATTAGTGAAACCTGTATTGCTATTAAACGTCCAACATGAAACTGGTAACATCATTTGTCATTGTAAAAAAAAAAAAGTGTTGTGTCTCCATAAGTACCTCATAATAACACAATTTGCTAATCCCATTAAAGCATTTGCCAAATATCAGTGAAAGGCAGCTCGAGTTACCAACTCCACATGAATCCAAAAGATTTAAATCTAAGTGTGTTGTAAATTGTTTTCCGTGGGATATGAGGTAGGGAATGAGAAGAACTTGAAACCTCTCTACCAAAAAACAGATGGCATGCAATAGAATAAACAAATGGTTGGCCACATGGATGTGAACTAAATCACTGACAGCAAAATGTTTCAGAAACATAAAACAAGCAGCCGTATAGAACTTCAGAACTGGGCACAGGCTTATTTCCATGCTTGTTACAGATTCTAAGATTGTCAGTAGGATAACTTTTTAGCACTGGAAAGTTTTAAATCTTCTTTGAATTGTTATTATTATTAATTTGAATTATTAATCCAAAAGATGTTGATTTGTAGCAGTGGATCATTCTTTATAGTCACTGCTATAACATTCTTATTTCTTGCCAGCATATAGGAGAGAGTTAAATATTGCTTTAAAATATCATTTCAAATATTTTTTAAATAACAAATATACAATGGAATATTCATTGGGATTAAATAAAATGAAGAGTCAGGAAGCATTTATAAAATGTAACCACTTTAATATATTACTTTGCACCTTGAGGGTGATGGTGGCCACACTGCAGAATGCCTTTTCTAGGTACATGTTGCCTTGCCGCTCTGACGCATTAACTTGCTGTGTCCAGTGCCTCAGATGTTCTTGTTGGTGGGGTTTTGCATACTGGCTGTGGCCTAATTAAAAAACTCAGTTTGAGTTAAACCACATTCAGCTTTTGTTTAAAAAGAAGAATTTCTCTCCTGCTTTTTGTGTATCTCCCATCTTTCTCTATGGCTTGTGCTTCAAACTAGAAAGCTTTAAACCTTTGGCAGCACACTTGCAGGAGATAGAAAATGTACTAAGGAAATAAACAGTGATTATATACAAAACCAGGCCTCCACATGCTTGGAATTAGACGCAGCCAAGGGAAATGCTAAGAAAAAGTACTTCTGCTTCAGATATTGTGTGCCATGTAGGCCAAGGACACTCAGGCCATTGACAGAGGAGAAGAAAATCAACTTTGGCCTAAATCTCTTGGAACATCCTGGTGTGTAAGCAGGGATTAGGTCAGAAATGCAGTGTGTGCTGTTAAGCATGGAGTTTTGCAACTAGTTGAAAAACCCCTATTTATATTTGTTTACTTAAGCGTGATAAGCAGTTCCTGGAGCAGAGAAAAGAAAGTCAGAGATAAGGGGGTGATAGGGAAGTGGAATGAAAATTGGATATATGTTCTTCAGAGGCTTGTCAGGGCCAGATAAAATTGTTCAAACCTCGCCAGAGCCTTCACAGCTCATATAATTGAAAGTAGCACAGAATAATCCCCTGATGTTGGTCTTCGAGACCCTGCAGTGCTCTCCCTGCATCGTCGTAGGGGCGGCGTTGGGTTGGGAGGAGCAGGCTCAGGGTGTGCCGGTGGAGGGGACAGTCCCTGTGCTGGCATCAAGGACAGCGCAGTGCCACTGTCCCTACTTTCACACCTGGCCGCTGAGTCTTTGGGTGAGGGGTCCCCACTCCTGAGACCCAGAGCTCACCATGTTCAGGCTAACAAAATCTGTCTCTCATGTTGCTGTCGGTGTTTTTGTTAAACGTGCATTTAAGCATGATCTGATTAACGCTGCACTGAAGATCTCATCTGTAGGCCGGCCCTACGGTCAGCTGTCTTCAGGCGATGCCTTAAGGACTGGCTTGCTCTACTGTCTGGTCCAGCACTCGGTGCACATGACCAGCTCAGATCAGTGGAGATGTGAATTTCTGGAACAGGATAAACCAAATGGAAAAGTTTGTCTGTAAATAAAATTCTCAAATGTGTTTAGCTGTCACCTACACTGGAGTTTTCATTGGTTTGTTCAACCCAGCCTCGCCAGACGTCTCACTGTGCTCCGCGTGCTCTGGTTGTGATTGGCTTCTGAATTGCTCTGTCACCACCACCACCAACAGGTGACATCAACTTTCAAGCACCGCGCTAAGGTTTCGCCTGGAGAGACTTATTTACCACGCAGTCCGCTGAGATGGTTCTGTGACCATCTCCATTTGAGAGGGGAAACTGAGGTACAGGGAGGGTCAGTGACTTGTCCAAGGTCACACAGCTAGTAAGTAGCAGAGCCAGAGATGAACCTGGGGAAGACAGGCTCTGGAGCCCATGCTCTTAATCATTACCCTGTAAACTGTTGATTTCTAGAAGTCGGTTTGGAATTAGACATTTTAGAGAAGTTGGAGTAGAAATAGAAGAAATTGGGTTGTAATGCCTAGCAGGATGTCCGAGATTAAGAGCTGGGGGTGGTTGTTTTCTTTCTCTCCCTCCCTTTAATATTAGCATTTGGAAAACCTTTCTAAGTCTTTGGGATTGCCGTGGGCAATGCTTGCATGGGTTCTGAGCACCTTCAGACACCATGAATACTGTTAGCTTCACTCTGCCCGAAGACACCTTTTCGTAAGGATAGTTTCTGTAATGATGCCTTATGATGCCCCATGTTACTTGTATATTTTTTAAAATTAAATCTCTATTGTTCAGATTATTACAGTTGTTCCTCTTTTTCCCCCCCATAGCTCCCCTTGTATATATTTTTTTGAGGTAGCACTTGAGAAAACTTTACTTTGCAGTTTTGGAAGCTGTTTCATGAACAAAATTCTTGGATGTTTGAATATGATATCCAAATTGGAATTTGGTTTTATTTATAGAGGAAGGGACGGTTAGTTTAAGAACTTAATCTGTACTCCTCTGAGGGATACTAGCCACGAGTACAGAAAATGTGAAATTTTTAAACAACGTAGTCCCTGTGGGACAATTGCTGTGTAATTGGCCCCATGAAATGCTCAACTGCATTACTCTTCTTTAAGGCAAAACAAACAAAGAAACACTTTATTCCTATGAGGTTTTTTTTTTTTTCTTCTCGCTTTAGAATTCTAGAACTATTTACTCAATGCATCTGTTAGTTTATGATGTTTGCCTTTTTCATTAATCAACAGAGAAAACACTTCATGGTATGAAAATTAATCTGAAATCTTCTTATTCCCCATTTTCAGTTATATTTTTATCTGTACCTCAATTTTTGCAGGCTACCTGAAATGTTTCTCTTCAATGTAAAGCATTATGGTTTTGCCATGCATATGAAAAAATTTAAATCAAGAGCCAAAGTTTATGAGTTAGTCATGTAGATATTGGAAAAAGATAATAACTTTATGTTTGAATTCCAAAAGAGTGTTTCCCTTTGCTTCATATTAGAATTTGGTGCCCATCAAAATATTTTCAAAATTCAAAGCATTGTATTCAGAATATTTCATCTTGGCAATGCTTTTTAAAAAAATACAGACAGCTGTGTTGAACTCTAAAGGACTTTTTTTTAACATATGGAAAGAAAATAGAAAATTTCCCAATAAAAAGCCATGTTGTAGTTAGCATTTAAGTAAGTCTTTAAGAAGTGAGTATATGATAATTTCTAAGGTTTTGCAACTATTCCATAATTCAGAAATGGCACCGTATTTATGTGGAAAGGAGCTTTGCCAAAGACCTTTAGGCAATTTCCCATAAAACTGAAACTGGCATTCGGTACTGTCAGCTTCAGTGACAAAGGTGTATTTGACAAGAAGGCGGTATGAGTTTGCTGGGGCTGCCATAATAATGTACCACAGACTGGGAGGCTTAAACAACAGAAATGTATTTCTGCACCGTTCTGGAGGCTGGAAGTCTGAGACTGAGGTTTTCTTCTCTCTGACTTCAGTGGTGTTTCCCATGCATGTCTGTGTCCTAATTGCATCTTCTAAGAATACCAGGCCTGTTGGATTCAGGCCTTCTCTAATGAGGTCATGGGGGTTAGGATTTCCACTTTCTCATGCATGTCTGTGTCCTAATTGCATCTTCTTCTTCTAAGAATACCAGGCCTGTTGGATTCGGGCCTTCTCTAATGAGGTCATGGGGGTTAGGATTTCCATATATGAATTGGGGAGTGGGGGCACACTTTAACCCTTAACATAGGATAAAATGATTATACATTTTTTTCATTGCAATATTTTTAGTTGTCATGAAGGCTTTGATTATTTATAAATATACCAAAGTTGAAGTATAATTGACCTACCTTGTGAGCTTTTTTTACTTGGTTAGAAAAGTGAGTTGAACTTTATTTTTCGAAAATGGCATACCAGTGAAATTGTGATAAACATAGGTCTATAT